GCTGTGACCAGGCTGGAGTTGGCCACCAGTGGTCTCTCAGCCGTAGGTGGCTGTCGATGTGGTCACTGTGGGGCTGTGCCAGCTCCTGCGCATGGACACCTGCTGCTTCACAGGTGAGGACTGCCAAAACCCAAGCAGGCCCCCAAAATGGCCTTTTACTCTTTTTGCTGTTGCCCAGCCAGCAGCTGCGGCTCATCCTGGCTGCCCACAGCATTGGCCCTTTGCCCCTGTCCCCTCCCCTCCATCGCCTACCCTCTTGGCAGGACCCCAGCCCAGGAGGGGAGGGCAGGGCAGTGAATGCAGCTGGAGCAGCAGGTGAAATGCTCGGTTCACAGCTGGTCCTATAACAAGATAAGCCCATGGCCAAGGACAGTGGGAGCACAGCAGGGGTTGGGAGGAGGATTGTTTGCTGGCCTTGTGCAAAAGAACAAGGGAAGGGAAGGTTTGTGCGGGACTACAGAAGCGCGGTGTGCCTCCCCTGGGCACCACAGCAGAGCCAAGGAGCTGATACCTCTGCCGCTGGCTCCCCCAGGACACCCCAGGGGAGCGGGGTCGCTGGCAGCTGCACTGTGACCTGCAGCACCATCACCCTGAATGCTGTCGATGCCACCAAGCTCTGCCCAGGCCATCGCAGGGGACAGGGACTTGACTGCAGGGATGTCAGAGAACAAGCTGAAGCAGTGACTATAGAAAATAAAACTTTAATTTTTTTTTCCAGTTCATAGGACAGTTCCCATTACACAGACCACGAACAGGCAAAGGCTCCGCAGCCAGCAGCGCCTGGGACTCAGCCCTCTCCCACTTGCCGAGGGGTTGGTAGCACAGCAAGGGCTGCTGCAGGCTCTGGGGGTCCTGCTGTTTTCCATGAGTGTCAGCACAGACATCTCCCCAGAGCTCCTGGAGACAGCAAATAGCCTCCACAACTGCGATGAAGCTGGAGGGGAGGCCGGCAGCACCCAGACAAGCTTGGCATCAGCACCCCAGGCCAGCAGACTGGCTGTCACTCGGGCATTCCGGTTTGTCACCAGTTCAGCTACAGCCAGGTCAGGAGTAACGGGAGAGCACAGAGACAAAAGAAAATCAATGCTTGGATAAAGAAGCTGTTTCTGCCACACGAGAGACAGGAAAAGCTTTAAATTCAGCCAGCAGAGGAAAAAATAAAATAGCCAGGTCAACCTTTATTAAACATAAACACAGAAATGTACCATCAACCTCCCATTATAAAAGTACTTTACATACATTCAAGGAAACATCATATAAATATCAGTATGAAATGTCACTGGCTGCAAGAGTTCCACACTCAGCTAAAATTAAAACATTTTAAAGTAAACAAACACAAAGCAAAGCCAGCCAGCTGCCGGGCTGCTTGGTACCTTGGGTCCAGCACTCGTTGCGAGTGCCTGGGCAAAACACATCCGACCTCCCAGCGTGGGCCAGCACGGCTCTCCCACAAGCTGCTTTGGATGTTAGTGAAGCAAAGGAGCCGCTCAACCACGCCGGATGGTGGGAGGTTAAGGCACAGGTTTTAATCCCAAAGTTCAGCCAGCTGGAGTACAAGACGTGCTCCAAACAGGCTGTTTCACAGGCTGGGACATCTCCCAAGCCCGCTTACAGGAGACCTTTGGATGGGCTGGGGACTCGCAGAGAGATGTTCAGGATCCAGCACAGACTCTTCTGTGACTGCACGTGAGTCCTGTTCTTCTGGTAACATTTCAGACCCTGAGAGCAATGGGGCTGCTTCTTGGCACGGCTCGCTTCCTACCAGATCTGCTCTGGCTGACGCAGTAACAGCACTTCACAGGGACCCCAGATGAACTGGACTCTTTATGGACGCAACAGGAATGGAGCTGTAGCCCTGTCGCATCTCTCCCTGCTCTGCACAGGACCCACGCTGCTGTGAAAGACCAGCACACACCTACATGGGCTGTCCCAGCTGTGTGGGAACACCCAGTAACACACCTGAGCTCTCCATCTTGTATACGTGGCAGATGGGAGAACATCCCCCGTGGGCTCTTGCTCCTGTTCAAACCCTGCTGCTGAGCATTGTGGAGCATGTCCCCAGTTTGCTGCAGGGGCTCTGCTCGGCCAGCAGCTGTGAGAAGAACGGCAGCCATCAGCGCAGCCAAAAGACATCCCCTCCACTGAGCTGTTCAGTAACACCCATAGTAGATATTGGCTCCTCAGATTTTTCTAATGGGATGAGGGGTCACGTTGCTCACAGGCAGCAGTTTCTACACAGACGGCATGCTCCTGAAGCAGAGAGTTCCTGGGGAAATACGCAGACCCAGAGCGTCCACCTGAGGTCAGAGCACAAGGCCAACACCTAGCAAGGACCTGGATGGAAATCAGACCACTCCTGACTCCTGTAACCATCTTGGAGAAAGAGAATCTCCTCGGATTTATTTTTTTTTAAAAAAAAAAAAGCAAAACTGGAGCTAGGATCATGTGAAACAGACCTCTGGGTCTAGGGATCCAAACCCCTTGTTCTAGGCACCTTCTCCACGGTGGTGACTGAAGCTGGCCCAGGAAGAGATGCTCCTGAGGCAACATCCTCAGCGCTGATGGAAATTATTCCTCAGTAACTAATGCCATGAAAGGAATGCAGCAAACACATCACCTGCTCCTGTGGGCGCAGCCCGAGTGGGTCAGTGTCCTCCCTGAAGTGACATGCTTTCAGACCAGTCCCCCGTGGGTCCCAGATGTGTGACACTGGGCTGGAGACCAGGGGTCTGGAGGGGTTTGGGTGCAGCTGCGGTGTTTGGCTCAGCAGAAGCAGCAGAGGTGTGTGGTGGGGTGCAGCAGACATCTGTCCTCTGTGCAGAAACTCCAAGCACCTGCTGATTTGGTGCCATCAGGGTATAGGGAGGAGGCAGATACCATTGAACACAGCCTGATCTGGCACAAAATCAGCGCCCCGTGCCAGCCCTCAGTCTCCAGCTGGCTATTTCTGACTAGTGGTACTGCAGGTCACTGCCTCCAGCCTTTTTTTTCTGAGATGGTAGCAGAAAAATCAGCGTAACCATCACTCCTAAGGCCAGTGTGCTCCAGGCTGCCAAGTCACAGTGTCTTGGAAAATTAAGTCCCTCTTAACAAGGGGTTTGTTTCTGACTGTAGTTAGGCTAATGCAAAGAAGAATACAAGAAAATTGCATCTGATTCTACTAAAAGGAACTTACTCTCACAAATGGAGTCAGGAAAGCAGAGGTGAAGGTTAATAACCATACCTTTCTTTGTAACATTCATGAGGATTTAGTTCTCAAATTATTCCTAGTCCAGACGAGGACTCTGTTCACATCTGAGCAGTCTGCAATAGTGTTGTGCTGTATCTAATGTTCACAGGCAGTTTTGTTTTCATTTACAGGGAAAAATCTGTGGGATCTACGGTCTGGGTCATGGATAGCTGGAATCCAACGATCTCCTGCTTGTTAAGAGGGCTTGTGCACACATGGACTAGAAGCCACCGGGATGAACTCAGAACACCAACACCTTCCTCTACAAGGAACCACATATCCCAGAAACAGTCCCTTATCTTTGTATTTTCCAGTAATCCCACGTTGAGGAAATAACATAAGGACATTGTAATAAATTAACTGCTTTGAACACCCAGGGAAGGAGAGAGAACACATTTCACAGCAATAGAGGTATTTTTGACATTTTCATTAATATTTCCTATGAAAAAAAACATAGCTCTTTTTGGCTTTGCGAAACAAGGGAGATTCAGCTCTGCCACCAGTATTTTTCTATAAAAATAAGGTTTTGTGTTTACTTGGATTCTACAACTAAGCTGAATAGAAAGGAGAAGGCTCTTACAAATACTTCCGCTGCTGTATCACACCCTCCCTCTGGAGACTACCTGCTAGAGGAATTCAGCTGGCTTCTGTAAGTCTCTTCTTCAGACAAGCTCTAGCTCCACTGAGTCTAGTGCTTCTTTATAGGACACCTTTGTACTTGGCAGGGCCTGTGCTCCTGAGGAAATGACCTGGTGTCATGTTCTACTGTACAGTTTGCATTATGTTTTCTTCATCAAGCTGAAAAGTGAGTCCCCAAATGTATGAGATTTCTGTGATGGAGAGGGTTTGCAGGAGCTGCAGTCACGCCTTTGCTCCAACTTCTTACAGGAAGTCTAACTCGAGGGCTTGGTGAAGGGACACAAGGTCTGCGTGATTTGTGATCCTCCAGAAAGGCATGTTGTGCTGTAACAGAGAGATGACAAAGTCAAGTTTATTCGAGTGATTTTACAGCTAGGTGGAAGCAGTCAAGGTACATCTGTAGGGTTGTGCAATACAGTGTTTTTGACAGTGCTGTCTCAGCATATCATGTTCAGGAAGGACCTGAGCCATATGCACATCGGTATCTGAAGCCTATCTTATCCGCCCATTTGTTTACGACGGGCACCAGCACTGACTATCAGCTGCTTTGCACGCTTATGATGGAAAACCTCAGCACTCGACTGTAAGCTGCTGCTCCACCCAGGAAAGCCTCTGCAGGGCTCCCAGGGAACCTGCGAGGATGACAACTTTGGCATATGACAGATAATGTGAAGCCTGCAGAGATGATGTCCTGACAGTAATCTGTGCACTTCACTGCCTTTAATCAGCATGACGGAACAACCTGTTCAGGCCTGTCCAAATCAATCAAACTGCTCCTTGTTTGTAATTCAGACTAATAGTTGATGCTGTGTATTGATCTGACTGCTGGCAACCGAGTCCTGACTCCCTCCATGCTTCTGAGAAATTGCATTATCCTAACTGATAGCTGCATGCTGTGATCAAGACATGCTACATCAAGATACTGTTTTACAGGGACAATGTTATACGCAATCCTAAACAACAGTAAAACAGAAACTTTAAATGCCCAAGAGCCAGAAGATTGTGCATCTTAACATAGTGGAAGATCTCTTGCATCAAAGGCAAACTTTTCCCCGGCTGTCCTGGCCTGACGAGTTCAGCCCTGGAAAAACGAGTCTGTGCAGAAAAAGACTTCTGCAGTAACTTCCCTTTGCATCGACCCACATCCCACCGCTGCAGAGTCAGAAACCCACCTGCTTAGCTGCAACCTCTTCGTCACGCCCATCTCCAATTACAACATAGGTGACTTTCTTTCCAAATCGTGACACGATCCTCTCAAAACAGCTCTCTTTACCTGCCAAAAGACAATCCCGCTATAATGAGCCTTAGGCAGAGAGCAACAAAAGCTGGAACAGGTCCCTTCTTCCCAGTATAGAAACACATTCTTGTCTTACTGGGAAGGTGATAACACCCCGTTCAGCTCGTGAGGCCAGAAGCCATCACTATTACATGGCCAGCTGGACCACAGCACCCACGGGGGCTGCTCAGCTGCAGAAATTGTACCTTCTGTGTAAAAATCCCAGCTAATCCACAGCAGATGCCTCAGTGCCAGGTACTCAGCACAACCTCTTACCTATTTTTGTAGCACTATAAATGTTTTCGATTGGAAACACCTCGCCCAATCCATACAGGAGAACTTTGGCAAGAGCTGGCACCAGTTGGGTGGTTGTGATCAGGATGTTCACACAGTTTTTTCTAAAAGAGGAAAAACACTTGTAAAAGCACATCTACAGCCAGTGGTGCCAAAGAGTACTCCAGGCAGATTGTTCAGCTTTCCACAGTGCCATGTGCTGCTTTGTTCTGCTTTCGAGAGGCTTTTTAGGCCAAGATTCTGATTTGGGATTTTTGTTTGTTTTAAATAGAAATTGTCTGGCAGAAATGCAATTTTGTGAGCACAGTCCTATTATGGGGACCTTCCTAACAACAGATGTTGCAGCAGAAAAATCCCAAAGGGTGCTCAGGTGTGGAGTTCCTGCACTCGTTCACTTTGTTTCTCAGTACCTGTGACAAACAGCAGTAGTATTACATATAGACACTGCTGCAACACAGCACTGCATGCAAATCTAAGTAAGAGAAAGGGCTGAGAAAGCAATATACACCTTTCCAGTTTCCATACCTGGACTGTATGAGTAGCAGGGACTTTAATGCAGTTTCCAGCCAGGAATCTGTTAGCACTTCTATATCAGTCCTTAGTCGCTGCAGAGCTTCCCTCTTCTGCGGGCTAAGAAGGCCTGGAAGGCAAGCAACAAAGTTTTCCCAGCTGAGTTGGCAAGTCTAACACAGAGCATGCCATCACTCAATTTAACAGCTGCCTGTTCCGCAATAAATAACACAGTACTGAAGGCATCTGAAAGCTGACGCTGTCTTGAGGCAACAGGAGGAACCAGCTTCCAGTGACACAGACAAGCCCAGATATCCATCTGTGACTCTGGGGGGAACTGGGTAGATGCTTTTCTCTGATTATTTCAAACCATTTCTCTGGATACATGCAACAAAATGCACTTCTCTTGTACAAAGCACTCACAGCAGTAGGTGTTTGAAGCCACAGCAGGAGAAGGAACTCCTGCCGTCACCCTCTCTGACTTCCTACTTCCCAAGGACCCTTTCCACTTCAAATCCCTTTTAGGTATCTTTTTTAATCCTTTTTCTTTTTATCCCCATATTTTTTATCCCTTTTAGATATCATTTTCTCAAAGCATCCAGTTTTGAATTAAAAGCAGCCAGAAATGGAGCCCATACACTCAAACCTGCTCCTGTCAGTAAACTGAACAAGAAAGGAGCACCCTGATGAGTCTAAACCTCTCTCCATCCAATTTCCAGCCATGATGTACGAACCCCGCCCCTCACTCCAGCCCTGAAGTACACCAGTCCTCTGACAATGAGGCCACGGAGAGACCCATTGTGGCCTGCACTGACAACTGCTTTACCAGGTGGCTTTAGACAGGTCCTGAAAAACTTTGCATCCAGGTTTCCCACGTGCAAAATATGGAGTAATGCTCTGATCCCTACCAGAAACAAGGTAATTGCAGCATACCGAAATGCAAACTTACATTGACAGATTTTTAAGGCTGAAAGTTATACTTTTGAACACATGGTTTTTAGAAAATATGTCCAAGAAAATGTTCTATCAATTTTTTTGGCATAGGCAAAGGGTACCTGTGAGAGTCGGTCCGAAGTTGGCCCGAAAGAACAGTAATGTCTCAACATCGTCAACAGATTCTTGGAGATGATACAAGGACACCAACACCCGAAGAGGGAGGACTGCATGGTACGGAGAGCAGTGTACTGTTCTCCAATACCTGGGACTGAAAGTAACGGCCGAGATAAAACCACATACCCGCTGTCAAATAAGATGGCTCTCACCTGCTGCCTTAGCAACTGGCCAGAAGACTTGGACCTTAGGTGAACTTTCCTAATTATAACAGGAAAAACACACCTCCTAGCCGAAGGCTACCCACCTCCAAGGCAAACCACACCTAAGACACATCTCCTTGAGGATGTGCAGAAGTCTTGCTCGGGGAGGTGGAAGGAAGGCGGAGGTTGGCAGTGGTCTATGGGACAGAGGACGGGGCAAGGTGTGTTGCTCAGTATAAAAGATGCTCCTTAACAGCCAAAGTTTGGAAGCTTTCCCCACTAGAGATCACGACGATCGGAAGGACCGACGGGACGCCACCGGACCTGGGACCATAGGGATGCCTTGGACCCGTGGTGGTAGCTATAATTCTCTCCCTCTCTCCTTTTACTTTACCTTTCCTTTCCCTCTTCACTCTTTTTACCTATCACACGCCGCTTTACAGGCAACATAATAAAGTTACACTGATTGATTGAAACAAAACCCCTTTGGCGTTTTCGCCTTTGTATTTTTGCACTTCAAGACTGGAGTTTAAACGAACCATCACGAGTCCACTGAGTGGACCGTGACATAAACTGGTGTCACGGACAGGATTCACAAGTCCACCGAGTGGACCGTGACAGGACCCAAACCCACAACCCACCAGGCTGAGTCACTCTGCCAGGTGAGCTGCTCCAGCAGCACCCCTTTCCCAGTGATGCCAATGCCAAGATGCAGACTAAACAGAAAATTTATCTACATTTGATATATGTCGTTTGCATCATTATTACTACTTTGGCATTGGAAGGGAAGCAAAACTAGAAGATTTTAAGTGATTTTGTGAACAGATGGTAGAAATGTCATGTCAGACTATGAGCACAACAGCCAAAAGGGTGAACGCTGCATTTCTTGACAATAGCGTGACAAAAGGCAGATTTTGTGGGGAAGTGAGTGAAAAGACCTTCTAAGCAACATGATATGCAAGTCATTTAGGCCCATTCTAAGCAGAGTGACAGGTAGCATTTCATACAAAATTAGCAAAGGGACACTGCACCAAAATTTTCTCTTAGATACAGGATTGACTGACCATCCCTATCTACATGGTAACTCACAGACTGCACTGGCACGCCGTCCAGTTTTGGAAGACATAGCCTCTTAGATTCCATGGAGATTTGATCCCATTTAGCACTAGAAGAATAGTTACTTTTCATGTCCAGACATTCAGGAAAGCAAAAGCTCTGAGGAAGGACAGAGTCCGGCACCACAAATTCTGTTTAGAGCTCAGATACTGGTGCAGGTGAACACTCACCTCCAACGTTAGTTTTGTATTTATCGTAGATCTCTCGTACCCTGCGGTAGCGGAAGGCCAGTTTTCTCATCCAGTCCACTCCACCCTGGACACCAACCGACGAACTGTGATTTGTGTTACTTCCTGAGCCACTGAAGCCATCCGTGGAGAAATTGTAGTTGCTATTTCAGAAAAGCAGATCTGTTATGTGTGCCACAGCAGCAGAACCACTGCAGCTTTTCTGGTGGGGTTGCAGACTTCAGCTCTGACAGCAGCTGGAAAATCACCTTGGAGAGGAACTCTGCACAACCACCACTGCACCCTGACAGCAGAGACCAACTCCTATGGGAAATGTACTCTTGACATCCAACTACATTTGTTGCTGGTTCTGAACTGCTGTACTGAAATGCACCAATTCAACTCTTCCTTCACACTCTCCAGTACAAAACCTTCCTTTGCTCCTCGACTGCTCACTCGTCAGCAGTACAGAGCATCTTTCCCACTAACCCCTTTCTCATCCTGCAGTGATAAACCCCAACATAGTATCTTCCAAACATAACATCTCTGTCTTTACATCACAGCTGCAGCTCCACAAGCAGATGAGCTGCTTTACCAGCTCACAACTGCAGGAAGCAGGTCCTGCTTCACCACTTTCCCTGTATTTCTTTCTCCTTGATAGACAGGCACTTCTCAGACCTTTCTATAAGCCAGTTCAGCTCACTAATGCAGCAGAAAACTTACCCTCACCCTGCCTGGTAGTGTGCACAATCAGCTCACAGAGGGATGAAAACCACAGGGAGACTTTCAAAGGTCAAGATCATGAAGTCTGGAGTGTTGGTTCTCCATTCATGATGTCATTGAGCACACAGGCAACATTCAACAGTGGAAAATATAATTCACATTATAATTCTGAAAGTCTTCATGTTTTGTAGGTCTTCAAAGAAATACCACCCAGCAAATAAACACCATTTGCCAAGTCTGATTGCCTGCACAATGCTGACCTCCATCCCTTAACCAGATTTGGGTTTGAAGTCCTCACAAAATACAGATTACATCAGCTATACATTTAATGCATTCATGAGCACACCACCTTAAATCTTGGCCATTGTCATCAGATGCCACATCTTCTATGTGTACCTGGTCACACTCCTGTTTAAGAAAAAAATAAAAATAAAGTCACGCTGTTGTAATCCAGAAACACACTGAAAGCTGCAGATTAAAGAAAGTGTTATATAAAACAATCCCCTCAAATTTCCCAAGAGCAACCACCCATGCCATACTGCCTCCACGAACCTATACATAGCTTCTGTTAGCTTTGTCTTCCAGTACTAGGTTTTACTTCTCAGCACCTACAGGTCCTTGCCAAGACTGGGATTTGAAGTACCAGAAAAGTCTGAAAGAAGCATGTTTCTATGACATTTCGAGTTGTCCGCAAAAAAGCAACTTCGACACTCACTGAACAGGTTGGACACAAAGCTCGTCATTTGAAACCCTTTTGCCATTTCACAAAAACAAACCAAACAAAATCAAAAATACCCCAAACCCACATTATCTGGTCAAGTATTGATATTCCATTTCATCAACACAATGGTTAATTCCATTACCGGAGAGCCACAGCACAAACCCTGGAGTGAAACATCAGCGTAGTGGCAAGACTCTGGTATTTAGCACAGCTGATTTAACCCAGAGCTAAATTGCAAATAACTTAGGACAAGAAGTGAATTTTCCCCATTTCAAGAATTTCCCACTGCTGCTACTAAACAACACCTACAGCAATAAGTGCTGCTGTTGATCACATGGTTAACATATCAATGACTACCTTTCCAGCACAAGGGACTGTATTTGGTGTTTTGTTTTGTTTTTTTTTTCCAGGGCAGGGAGGTTAACTGTCATTACCACCTTTGCAAAGTTCACAGTTGCAAGTAGTCATAGCCACAAATGGAAACTTCATTTAAGTTTCTATTTGCATCAACATCTTGTTTTCCCACGATGTGCATCAGTGATGCACCTACAATTAATTACTCACTGTTCATATTCAGCCTTCCTAAGCTTTAAACCAGTCCTGTAAATTCTGCAAATCAGGTCCATAAATCCATATTTATGGACTCATATCAAAGAAAATATGTCGGGAAATTTGCTGTTTCCAATCATTTAATTCCAGATTCTGGCATAACTTCACACCTTCCTGTATAGATCGCATTGCTGTGTCCATTACTGTCTGATAATGTATCATAGCACAGCATAGGGCATTGCCATGATTAAAGCAAAGATTTATATTCAACTTCTGTGGAAGCAGTGCAGAACAGTGAGATGTATTTAACTTGGCAAAGAATACTGGCCATGAAAGAGGATGGGAGCTGACTGGAAGTCCTCAAGGCAGGATGGGAATGAGACAGCAGCAGAGATAGGTTACAGGAAAGAAAAATGGAGGGTGCCGTGGGACCTCCATGTGTAGAGCATGCTTTTCTATGGAAGTGCGTCCTTCATAGTTGTTAGACAGCCAGTGTAACCTACTGAGATGCACAAGTTGCATTCAGATGCACAAGTTGTATTCTGAGATGCACAAGTTGTATTCTGTCCTTGGCTTAGTCAAAGCCCCTGAGAACTGACATTCTCAAGGTCATCTTTTACCCCACATTTCTAGTCTCTGTTTCAAAACAGAATCAGTGAAAGCAAAGTGCTTAGTGGTCCACAATGCAAATACAAGACAAAGCAGACATCACTCTTTTTATTTATACAGATTCAAGTAGAAATCCATCAGAGAGCTAAGAGAGCTCATGACACTAGAAGTCTGCAGAATGCCTGTCTCAGATAAAAAAGTACACCTCTTAAATTTGGTTGTGCTTAGAGCCACTTCAGTTTTGGTAGACTGTTATGTTTCAGCATTAAGTGGCTCTGAAGTACAATTGTCCTCACAAACAGTGCAGTGTAATTCTAACCAGGTAACATCAAGTTTTGCTTTTCAAAAACATTTGCCATGTACCTCCAAGTCATTGAAAAACAAGTGAGTATCAGCTACTTCAAAAATCATCTCCTCCATTGACAGACCTGAGCCAATCACCAGAGTTGGATCCTGGCAAAACAAAGAGAAAATGTAAATTCACTGTGGTTATAGGCAGAAGTAAATTGTGATAAATCTTTCATTAGTTACATTGCACAGAGCTTCCACTGCATATCAAGCCTGATGTAATACCATCTGCGTTCAATGGTGTGAACTACAATTTCCCTAATATTTTAAACAACTCGATAAAATAAAAAACCAACACGTTTTGGTAATACATTGACCCAAAATGTAACAAAACACTTCAGTACTGATGCATTTTCAGAGGCAACCAAACAAAACATTCAAAAATCTTCAATGTATTTTGAAGGAGAGAAATACTTCCTTTCACTCTGTGCTATAGCCTGAGTAATTCCCAATGATGATATAAACAGTTTGACATTTTAAGACTTGTATTATTAGAAAGGAAGTGTTTGTGATGTCCATATCCTAGCTCTGTATAAAGCCAAATTTAGTGTTCTTTACCTACCCCAAAATGCTAACCTGTATCACCTTATACATTTAAAACAAAATATGATTTTCTATTCCATTTCCAAAGATTAACATTTACTTCTGCATGACAGATACGGTTTTTCTTCCACAGAAAAGACAATACTACCTTGCCATATTTTTGAGCGTAAGACCCTGTGAGAAGTGAATGGAAGATTATGATGGTCTCATCCAGGTCCCAGAGAAACACTCGCTGTGGAGAGAATAAAAGCAGGTTAGAGTTGAGATATTCCAAGCACCGAACTACAATAAAAGAGCAAGTTTAGGGTCAGTTTTGTGCTTAGTTGCAGTATGCTTTTAACAATATGTGCAACAGTATTCATCTTACAGGCTGAACATGTTATTAAATTCAGTTTATTACAGTGGAGTTTAAATACTGCTACAGTGCAACTACACACTCAAGAGTAAGGCTCTCCTGGTCAAACTATTTCAAAAGCTTCTCTTGCTTTTACAGTTATAAAAGGAAAAACTTAGAGTGCTAATGAACTTTAGAGCCCTCCTAAGGTGAAAGTTTACTGTCTGTGATCTGGAGAGCACCAGGCAAATGACCTTGGTGTTTATCAGAGACACCTTTGTTATGATAAATAAGCGGGATTGGCTGCCATGAGGTATAGCAGAGTTTCAGTACAGAAAGACTTTGATAAACTTGAGAACTGGGCCAAGAGGAACTAGAAGTTCAATAACAGCAGATTCTGCATGTGGGGTAGAATAAGTCCTCGTATTGGTCCAGACTATAAGGAGCTGGAGGGTACAGTGGACACCAGGCATAGTATAAACCAGCAGCACTTTCTCCCTATGGATAAGATGAACTGCATGCTGGAGAAAACTAAGTGTGCCTTGCTGATAAAAGGAAGGTGCTGCCTCACCCTACTTGGCACTGGGAAAGTCACCCTAGATTGCATCCTCAGTTCCAGAGGTATGTGAGGAAATGAGAGAGTGGCCAGCAAAAGGCTGTCGAGATGATTAGCAGCCTAGAAGAGAGGCTGAGGGAGCTGTGACGGTTTATCTCGGCAAAGAGGAGACTACGGGTGACCTAATAGCAGACCACAACTAATCGAAAGGGAACTGCAAAGATGATGGAGACAAATTCTTCTCAGTAGTGGCAGACAGAAAATTGCCATGGAAGAAGAAGGGGAAATTTGCAGCTTGGGAGATTCCTTTTGGAGACAGAAAACCTCCTTCCTCAGGTGGATGTGGTAGTCCTGGGACAGATCACTAGACAGGTACAGGATCTCCAACCTTGGTGGTTCTCAAGACTCAGCTAGACAAAGCCACAGTTCTGGGGACAGCCCTGCCCTAAGATGTCTCCTCCACTGCTGCCACTATGATTCCAAGATGTATTTAAGTCATGTTTGTCAAGGACCACTGAAGAACTCATTTGGGCCAGTTCTCAGATAACATGGGCCATGGGAATTTCCCAAATTATGTCTCAGTACAGGAAAGACATGGACCTGCTGGAGCGGGTCCAGAGGAGGGCCACAAAAATGATCTGAGGGATGGAACCCCTCTCCTGTGAGGAAAGACTGAGAGAGTTGGGGTTGTTCAGTCTGGTGAAGAGAAGGCTCTGGGGAGACCTTATTGTGGCCTTTCAATACTTAACAGGGGCTTACAAGAAAGATGGAGACAGACTTTTCAGTAGGGTCTGTTGTGATAGGACAAGGGATAATGGTTTTAAACTAAAAGAGGGCAGATTCAGACTAGATGTAAGGAAGAAATTTTTTATGATGAGGGTGGTGAAACACTGGAACAGGTTGCCCAGAGAGGTGGTAGATGCCTCATCCCTGGAAACATTCAATGTTAGGTTGGACGGGGCTCTGAGCAATCTGATCTGGTTGAAGATGTCCCTGCTTATTGCAGAGGGGGTGGACTAGATGACCTTTAAAGGTCCCTTCCAACCCAAGCTATTCTATAATTCTATGATCCCCTTCCAATTGCATGAAGACAGGACAAAAGAAAGAGAGGAGGACTTACCACCACACTATTCTGCAATGCTACCTGCAGAAAACAAGATTACTACTTACCTCCAGTTCACTGTCCTGTGAGGATGAAGTATCTGCTTTCCTCTTCCCCCTGTTCTTCCCAGGGATGTTTTTTCTTGCTTGCTCATCTAACTCTTTACTTGCTGTTGCTCTTGATAATGAAGGACTTGTAGATGCATCTCCTAGAAGAAAAAAATCACACAGCTCTCACCCCCTCATGTCTCAAAACAAACATCAATATAAAGCTTATAGCATTTGGCCACAAACCTCCTTTGCAAAGGGTAAGCTGTTATCTTGCTTTATTGATACAGTAGTAGTTGAACTCTTATTAGAACATAAAACATGATTTTTCTGTCCCATCATTTCAAAACAGCTCTGTCTCCTCAATTCAGTCCACGAGGACTGAGCTACTTGCTGCATCCTGACTGCAGTACAAAGCCAAAGACAGAGCACCCTCCATCCTAAGGCCTGTAACCCCTCAGATGCCTCACTACCCTGGAACTGCTTTATTACTCAATTCATTCTTTTAATACTTCTTGAGAAAGCACCAGAAACCCTCAGTCTGGAATGAGTGTACAAAGGAAAGTATTTAATGATGCTTCTCCCTCTCAGATTTTCTGGACTAGTCAAATGCCTTTTATGTCAAGCAACATTATACAACACATACTGTTTCCACCTCCACATATACTACTCACTCCTGTGCCACCGTAAGCCTTTGACTAACAGTTAAACAATCACCAGTGCACAGAGTTATTGGGAGTGTGTTAATCACGCACAAATCCACAGTGTGCTAACTGTGAAACAGACATACTTAAGACTACAGCTCCATCGGGCTAGCCCAGAATTAGTAAAGAATAACAGGGATAATCTTGGTCCTGGAGATACAGACTTGGCCAAGCACCATTTCCCAGAGAAAGAGTAAAGCACCACCATAAAAAAAAATAATAAATAAAATCAATGCTTTGATGTGCAGAATATTACAACCACAATGGGAGATACTCTCTGAATCCTTTATTAACAGTTAAGGCAGAAGAGTTAACATCCTAGATGTCTGCCTAACCAGTTCAGAAATAGGACCAGAACTGTAGCAGGAAGGCAGAGGGCACAGGGGATTTGAAAGAGCTTGAATTTAGTCTGGGTATTGAAAGTGAGACATTGCAATTCCTATCAAAATTCATGCAAAATGGTGAACTTGGAGAATTCCTGAGCTAAGAAAATGGCACTGAAAACATTAACAACTGGGCCATTCCCTGGCCAGTGCCTTGAAGTAACAGGTCAATTCCTTAGGTTTTCAACATCAGACAAGAATAAATTCTCATGGGTAACACTGCTGTTGCTCACCCCAACTAGAGGGCAACTGCTTCCTGAAAGAGGGAAAGTGCTTGAAGCACCATGCTTCTTCACTTACAACATCACAGCATGGTGTTTGTCATACCCGTAGCATCCCATAAGGTAAAGGTAAGAGAGGTCTGGAACTTTACTGAGTTCAAGACTATCAATTTGTATGTTTTGCTCACCAGCAGCCACCCATCCCTGCTTTCAAGTTGCTTGGACGATTTTGAGGACTTGGCAGAGCTCAGGTACTACTGATAGACTTGGGGAAGATGGAGAAGGCAAAGTGCTGCAAAGGCAATCACTCACCGCCTCCCACAAGCAGGCTGATGCCCAGCCAATCTCCAAGCAAGAGCCACCTTGGAAGCTAAACTCCACTCCCCCTTCTTTCTCTACTTCAGTTTTTATTGTTGAGCATGACATTATATAGTATGGGAAATCCCTTTAGTCAGCTCAAGTCAGCTGTCCCAGCTGTGTCACCTTCCAGGTTCTTGTCCACCCCAAGCCTGCTTGCTGGGGGGTGGAGTGGAGGGGAGAAAGCCTTGACACTGTACAAGCATTGTTCAGCAGTAACCAAAACACTGGTGTGTTATCAACACTGCTTTAGCCACGAATCCAAAACACAGCACCAACAGAGCTGCTATGAAGAAAGTTAAGTCCATCCAGGCCAGACACAGGGCACCAACAAAAATTAATGGAATCTGTTTTTTTTCTTCCAGCCTACCAATCTGCAACAGGCAGCAGATTTTAATTTAAAACTGTTCAACACCACAGAAGAACCTAATTAACTCCTTGCGTAAGACACCGTAAGAAGCACTAAGTTTTTGCTCTTATCCTTCTTCAGTTCAGAAAACTGTATTTTTGGTGAGGAAATCTTAGTCAACACCACTGTGGTTGGTACATGACACAGCATTAGTGGAAAAGGGCAGCCAAAGATGTGACTTCTCTAGAATAGTCAATTAAACGTTTTCAATCCACTTTCTACATCTCCTCTCTTACCAGCTAAAATCTTCTCCCCCTGACAAGTGCCAGGTAACTTGATGCAGATGCAGATCTGCTCACATGCAAAGCACAGCTGAACAGCTGCCATTTAAAAACAGTTTACATGACGAAGCAGAAGAAAGGAAAGGGTGTACTCCTGGACACGTCAAAGACCAACTCATCGAGAGGTCATGGCTGAACTACAGCTTTTGAAAATACACAAGCAGTCCCGGAGGACTCCCGTAACTGGGACTGGCAGCTATATCATGGCTGTCAGGTAATCTGAATACCTGGCTG